CCAATTCCGCACCATGAGATCGCATCCTGAGGACAAAAGAATTTTAGCACCTATTACTTTGATTGATCATATTGGGTCATCTAAAAAGTATTCGCGGTTTTTTGTCACTAGATGTATGTTGATGGTCATATATCTAGTGACAAAGTACCGCGGATACTTTTTAGATGACTCAATATATGCATAAAGAAAATTATCCAATAACATTTTACGTGCATCTTTATAGGAGAAATGATTGGATAATTTTCTTTATGTATATATTTATACGGCTATGCAAGTTGTGTGGGAATACTCTTATGCAAGAATCTGTGCTCCCCGCTTTACATCGTCTACGAATCAATTGGAACAGAATTGTATATGCGCACGGATGAGATAGATCCGTTTCGGATAGAGTTAGATTAAATGTAACTTTTTTCGTGTATATTAAACAAAAAAAAGTATAATAATAGTGTCAGCTACTCAACCTCATTTATAGTCGCCGCAGTTAGTAACATATAAAGGTTAGTAACATTCTACAATGCGTTGCAAATATTCGTTGCCAGTTGAAATGTTTGCGACAATCAATTAGAAACGTTAATGATATTATTTATGCTTCTGATTGGTTGTTGCTAAAGTTCCTCTAGTAAGAGTTAAACCATCGAGTGATTATTTTTGATTGGTTCCTTCATATTCAGGGAACGAAAGCGATAGTAAGACAGAGAAAAACCTATATTAAAACAGAGAAAATAGCTTATTGCTTTCTCACTCTATCTTATACTCATATTCCCTATTAATGGCGGACGCGCACGTGCGTGAGACAGGTGTCGTAACTCTTAAAGAAAACTCTAGTTGTCGCGATAAACGTTTCAACTGGCAATGGTTGTTTGCAACACATTGTAGAATACCCTTTAGAGTGCGGCCTAATTTGCGAAAGCGTAACTTACGCCAACTAATCATATCGTTTAAATATTATTTTTGCGTTACTTTATGTTTTTTACGTTATTTGTTGTTAGGTCGAAAAATGATGGAATTATCATGCATCGAATCCAATTTCTGGCTCACTTTAATTTATTCTGTCTGAAAAAATGCATGTGGGTTTCGATTTTGCAACAATACAATTATAAAAGTCGTGCGCCCCTTTGCATCGCGTGGAAAATCGAAACCAATCAAAACCTATGTGGAACAGTACAATTATACCTCATTTTCCCTCTATGACAATTTCTTAATAGTCATCAACTTTAACGCTTAATATCTCAGATCACAAGGCAGAGCGATGCTTTTTTTGCCAGATTCTTTCGTTTCATGCAAAAATGCGTCAATAAGCCTAAAGCGGGGAGCACAGACTCTTATATAACGCATAACACGTAATGCATAAGAAAATGTACCAATTAAAATCTTTCGTTTCCTTAAAATAAAGAATTCTGATTGGTTGGATTTCTTATGCCTAACGTGTTATGCATTATGCAAGAGTCTGTGCTCCCCGCTTAAGACTGATTTCACAAGATTTTCCAAAATTTTTTTAATGATTCATTCGATTATCCTCATATGTATGTATATACATACGCGATGGAAAGTGACGGTTTCCCATGAGGCGTATTTTTTGAGATACGTAGATTACGAAAAAAAAATCAATTATAAATTCGTTTAACATTTCTGTTAGAGTATACAACAGAAATTCTAATCAACAATTGGTCGCATTTCTCTAATATTCCGCGTCCAATGTAAATACTAGTTTTCAGAATGACGTATTCCAGTAAATAAAGGTTGATAGCTATGTCGAAAATATTCTTATGGCTTCTGCACACTGGACGTGGAAACACTTGCAGCAAAATGAGACACAGTAACCAATGAATACATTAGGAGCTATAAGTTTATTGACTATCGCATCACATTTTGTCATACAGCAAATGTTTCCGCGTCCAGTGTGCAGAAGCCATAAGAATATTTTTATTATCAACATTATCGATAATGATCACGGCAAACTCTTGCTGGGTTTTCACTTAACGCTACAACGCTCATTTTCAGCGTCAAAACAAGTCATGTGATCAAAATTGATGAATATCCAATGTCCTAATGCATAATGCATAGTGCATAAGGGAATCGAATTTTTTCTTTTCTATGGAATAGAAGAAGAGGAAAGATTTTAATTAGTTGATTTGCTTATACAATATGCGTTATGCAAAAATATGTGCTGCGACATTAAGTCCGGATTTACGATAGACGTATTAAGCCTTAAGCCGTAAGAAATTAACCAATTACAGTCGAATGCGAAGAGAATCAAGATCATGGCACACAAAAACTTAAGGCAGTAAGACGTAAGCAGTAAAGAAATCAATATATTAGATTAGTTACTGGTTATGTTATGGCTTTATGGATTCTGCTGTGATTGATCAATTCTTTTAAGGTTATGGCACACTTTCTGTAACAGTAACCATAAGACGTACGGTAAAAATGAGCCAATCACAGTCAAGAATTTTTTTGAACTCTTAATTCTAATTGGCTTATCCTTACAATACGTCTTTGCGTTGATTTTAAAAGCTTCAGGCTGTCGCAACAAACTTGCGATCGGCTTGCAACTAATGTAGAACCGGTTTTATGATTACTGTTACGAAAGAAACTGTGTGCAGAGAGAAACCTGAGAAAGGACATTCCGGGCCAAAACCTGTAACCGCAAGATGTTTGTGGCGTTAGTTGCGGCGCTCAAATTAGTTCTTTTTTCCGGTTTTCCTTTCTCTCTGTCTCTGATATCATGGCGTTTTTCATGTGCAGAACTTTTGTAAGCCTTAGCGATAGATTTTAAGTTAGTGCTTGATAAGATTAATCATCATTTCATGTTCATGCGAGATCGACATCGATTATTGCTCATGTCGTTAGGTAATTACTATATCATAGATTTTTTAGTTTCTCATATTCTAACCTAATAATGCAATACCGATATCCAAATTGTCATAACGCACGGAATTACGTCTTTACTCTTTCGATCTATACTAAGTATTTATTTGAGTTTATATTAAATCGCTTTATGGCTTGTGAGTTAGAAACAATGAGTAACATTTCTTTGAGCTTAGTGATTTCCCGCAAATCTTCCTTCGCCATTAGTTAGCCGTCGCCGACGCCCAGATACGCTCGGCGCCACATTATAGCTGCGTTCGGTAATGCCAAATCTGAGGCGTCGGAGTACTCTTATATTATCGCATATGTCACGTACACTGTAGAAAAAGAGCACTTCGACGCATTAGATTTGCATTGCCGAACGCAGCTATTGGACGCATCCACAATATGGCCATATGCTGCCGCTCACTACTGTGAGGTCCTCTGACAAAGTGGATGTAAACTACATAGCTCTGACGGTTCACTTTTCTGAGATAATACATCCACTTTTCAACTCCAGATATAAATCGATACTTGGTTCATATAAACATGCTACATTCACAAATTGTGCAGAAATAGACATCACGCGGATATAAGATTCCAGAAATATTTATCTCTGGAATCTTATGTGCGCGTGATGTCTATTTCGCTTAAAAGTATTAACATTAAGGTTATATTATATTTTTATAAAATGTGTTAATATTTCTATTTTAAATAAGCTATATACATATGAATTAAATTGTATTTCAAGCATTTTATTTTTTTAAACACATTTTTATGTTTAATAAAATAAGGAAACAATATATTTTGTTAATAATAACATAAATTAAAAGAAGACCTGATGAGTCAAGCTGGTTAATTATATGTGCTGTAATTATGTGTGCTTTAATTATAAATTTTTATACACAAATACAACTTATCTATGTAATATTTCCACTATTATTTTTGTTCACATTGATAATGAATCCAACAAGGATCGATTTGTTTTGTTTTGTTTGTTACCAGCAAATTAAAGTTTATATTTTAACTAGATGATATGTTTTATTTATTAACGGTTTAAAATTTTTTAATTTATAATAATTGTTTTAGCTCGTAGCTCTTTGTCTTTCTGTTTTTTATTTAAATATAACTTGTATTCATTCTTTATTTTCTTCTAATGTCACAATTTCGAATAGCAATAGCGGAGCATTAAATGTTAGAATAGATGACATTGTATTAAAATAATTGAGAGAGAGAGAGAGAGAGGGGGAGAGGGAGAGGGAGAGAGAGAGGGAGAGGGAGAGAGAGGGGGAGAGGGAGGGGGGAGAGAGAGTCGATTTAATTTAATTAATGTCAAACGAAAACAATATTTCGTGCCGGAATAATTCGACATAAACATACCATTTAAGAATAATTCTTTGACAATGAAAAATGTCAACTTTTAAGAAAACTTGTATTTTTTTTTCTAAAACCGAAACTACAAATGTCAACAGGATTCTTTTCAAATATATACAGGTTTGTTTTAATTTTTTAAATGCTTTTGAACCCTTTTTCGTGTAATTTGATCAAATTTGAATAAAAAATTGTAATTATATTTTATACTTTTCCTACAAAATGCTTAGAATATTCCTTATAGGGTATAATTGAAAAATATTCCTTACTCTTAAATGCAATCAAACTGCGCATATTTATTAGAGAATACGATATAAATTTTTCACATTTATTTATTTAAAAACTTCGGTACATAAAGTTTACTATAGTTTACTATATATTTTTATTTGAACTGAATTTTTGTAACTAACATAATATTGGGTCATCTAAAAAGTATCCGCGGTTTTTTGTCACTAGATGTGTTGACCATCAACGCCATCTAGTGACAAAAAACCACGGATACTTTTTAGATGACCCAATACATCAACTTTTCATTTGTTTAGAAGTATCTTATCCAAACGAGAGAAAAGTTTCGAAATTAGTTATTATAGTAGAATATACAAGAGGATAGAAAATAGTGTACAATATGAAATGGCAGTCTTATTAGGAATCAAATACTGCTATTATCTCAAATTATAAAAATTGATTTCACTGCAGTCATAACGAATATGCATATAATCATGAGACATACGAAAAATAAATGAATTTTTATACATTTATAGTTACAGTGACAGAGTAAACAATACTTAACAATTTTAGAGAAGTCAGGTTGCTAAAATAGTTATCAATATATTCTAATTATACTGTACAGTTTAGTGCTTATTGTTATGGCATTTTACGTTATGTGTTATGGAGATACGCGGATACACCGGCAAGCGGCAGTCGAGTTGCCACTGTCGTGACGTCACGCAACACACGCAAAAGGTTGAGTCCATATCCGTGTGCGATCGTGCTTCGACTAGTAAGGCCTATTTTAGGCGATGGAATAGCTCTCTGGCTTCCTCATACTATGTTCTCGCTATCTTTTTTACGCTTGGCGCAAGTTAGTTAGTCACCCGAAGGTGACTAATTGTAAGACAGCGAGAGCCCATCCTTCTCGCTCCCGTCTCTTCATTCAAGCGTGAAGCGATTGAAAATGTTTTCTTCGATCGCTCAACCTGTATCAACAGGCAAGAGGATCACATTAGATAACATAACTTTTAATATAAATTAATAGAATAGCTCAATTGTATTAAATTAAATATGGATAATAACAAGGGCTACGAACCAATTAAAATTAATAACGTTCAATATTTAAAACTAGAGTAAAAAGTACAAACGTTTCGACGCCAATCGGATCATTCTTAATGTTAGAATAATATTACAATAAAAGTCGGATTTTTATAACACAAAAATAGTGTTCTTTACGTTATAAAATAGATTTAAAAAAATGTAGATATGTATCAAATGCTTATGTCTTCTTTGTTTGTTATGAATATGTGGTCCATTGAAATATTAAAAGTGTGACATTGAAATCGTTCAATATAATCGAGACACTCATAATACTCGCATTTTTCTTCAATGAAAATCAATTTATTTAAAAGAAAGTTTTTAAAGAAACCAAGTTATTAAGTTACGAATACAATTAATAAATAATTACAGAATATAAAAGAAAACTTCTGAATAAGAACACTAACAATAATTAAAAGTACACAAACAGAAGAAAAAATTATTAAAAATGTATGATACATAGAAAAATTGTTAGAATTATATCAACATTAATATCAATTGCAGATGAAAAATGAACAAGTCAATAAATCAGTGCGTATTAAAATACAAAACTATAAATACTTTCTTCAGTCGAACTGTAGTAAGTCAAAAATTAAAAAGTAATGCAATGAATACAGCAATTTTATAAGCTATTATGCTGTATTAGAGCAGAGAAACATATAGCATCGACAGCATCTGACAACGTTATGAGTTAAAGAGGAGACAAATAGATGCGGAGACAGTAATATGTGGAAGGAGGAAGAAGAGAAGTATTAGGAAGGGGAAAGGGAATGTATGAGAGAGATATTAGAATATTTTCGGCAGAGATTCGTATCATTTTACTTGTTAATCTCATGTTTCTGTCTTTTTATATGGATCATTTCCGATATTAATCTCTTGTTGTAAGAGGATTCAATGTCCAAAATTTTAACGTTATCCCACTTAAAATTGTGATTAAGTGTGATCAATGGTGCTTGAAAATCATCGATGACGATTTAGATTTTCTATTAATATCGGAAGCATGTTCCTGTAATCTTATCTTTAATTGTCTTTTTGTTCGACTCACGTAACTAGCATCGCAATTATTACAAGAGATCTTAGAGACTACGTTTTGATTGCATAATGAATCCAATCCATCCTTTCCTTTTTTTATAAAATTTTTAAATATTCGGAATAGAATAGGCTAATTTACAATTGAACATATTAACAATTGGAGAGAATTTTTCAGATATGAATTTCATGTAAGGAATTGTAAAAAACTTCTTAACTTTTTTGTTAACAGTCCTGTTAATATTATCCATATAAAATTTAATTCTTTTTTGTATAAAGGAAAAGATAAATTAGTAATAGATATCCTTTATTCAAAAAAATATTGGTAGTATTAATTAGATTGGTTTGCTGGAAACGAGGCTGACATAAGCATATTATTTATCCACAAACCCATAGATTACGCCTCTCTTGTGACAAAGCGGATGCTGTGAGTTAAAATTGAGAAATTTGCTGAAAAAGTCTTGCGATATCCGTCAAAAACAAAGTTTCTTCAATCAATAACACAGTGTCCAAAAAACTTAATCTACCGTTAATGCCAACCTCCAGAATAAATTGCAATCTAATGTGTAAAGAATTAAAAATTTTCAAAATATCATTAATGCTCTCTGATGGAGCCGCTAAAATGATGTCATCCATATCGAAAATAGAACAACAACCGTACAGGTAACCTCCTAATTGCAATTTCCTTCAAGTTCTGCATAATCATATCAACAACGATTGGAGACAAAGGCGATCTCATAGGAGTCCCAAAGATTTATTTGTAGATTTTTTGTTAAACATAAAAAAAGTGGAATTTAACACCAAACGAATAGCAATCAAAAATTCTTCAGAGGGATTTTAGTTTTCTTGGATATGCATTTCTCCATCTCTTAATGATACTATCAAATGCCAATTCTAGGAACATTAGTAAATAACGAAATGACATCCAAAGAAATCAATAAGTAATTAGGCTCGAAACGAACATTCTTTGATTTTTCGATAAGATGGAAGCTTCTTAATATGATTAGGAGCTTCAGGTATAGAATTGTTAATGATATTATGCAGATACAATGAAAAATAATATAATATAATGGGCTATTAAGGCTCCTAGTCGCAGCAGCCATGAAATCGTGACGTCAGAAGCAAGGAATGACACGTTAATTTATGTTGCGTGCCGTTTTTAAATAAAGACAATTTGGATGAAACGAAATGACGAGATCACTTTAAAACACTTGTAAAAATCGATGAAAACTATCTTTTCCTCCATTGACAATCGATTATTAAGATCGTAGTTGTTTGTATATAAAAAAATATAGTTACATGCTTTACACGAACGATCAAATTCATAATTTAAAAAATTATATTTATTATTTTTTTTGTAAATTTATAAATTTAATCGTTCATGTAAAGCATATGACTATATTTTTTTATGTACAAACAACTATGATTTTAATAATCGACAAATCTTAATAATGCGCTTTTATGTTATATCGAAATTTATGATTTATATTAATTTTTATTTTTACATGTTGAGGATGGTCAAATCGTGATCAAAACGTATATGATTATTTTATATTGTTAACGAATAAATTTTAAATATATGATTTTCACTAGCTATCTTGTAAAACTGTTTGCTCTTGTTATTGTTTATATTTATTAAGCCACGTGTAAACCATTTAATATCAAAATTGTTCTGCACAATTACCCCTAAGATTGTTGCGTATATATACATATATTTCAAGATTATACATTTTCATGGATTATTTATGTATTGTTTATGTATTAAATTTACACAAATTCTTTTAATGTAGACAATGTAAACTATTATAAATTGAATAATAATACATAACGAAGTAATTATAGCCCAGTAAAAAATTTATATATAAATATATATAAATATATATAAGCATATTATATTCGTATATACGCATATATATTTGTATATATTATATATGAAATGTATATTTTTCTTTTTTATTTTTTGTAAAATTACTGTTTAATATAAAAATCATAATAATGAGAAAACATTAAAAACATGGTTAAGACTCCTGAGTAGTCACCACAGACATATTAAATTTGTTTGCATTGCATATGCGATTAATATGCTCTAACATGTTCCTATCATCCAATAGCACCTATTCATTTCAACGCACTTGGAGTGAGGTAGCTATGGTAGGAGCGTGGCAAATAAACTATTGAATCCGTGCCAAAAGCAAGATAAATAACAGGTTAATTTTTGTTACGTGCCATTTTTAAATAAAGACAATTTGGATGAAACGAAATGAGATTGATGCTTTAAAACATTGGTAAAAATGGACGAAAACTATTATATGCTTATTCCTCTTGACAATCAGAATAATCATAAAAAGTAATAAAAGGCACGTGTAAATGAAAATAGGTTACGGATGGACATTGAATAAAAGTACTTCATATCATGCTTTTTATCATTTTTTATAATTATTGACTGTCAGGGAGGATAAGGATACAACTTTAATTCATCCATTTTTACATTTTTATTTTAAAGCGATCTCGTCATTTCGTTTTATTGTCTTTATTTACAAATAGCACGTAATAAAAATTAACGTATCATTTCTCGCTTCTGATTTCAATGTGGTCGCGGCAACTATTAGGTGTTGGAATTAATTCGTAGCGTTTTTTAATGAAAGAATGTTATTTATTTCACATGAGCATTAAAAAATACATTAATGAAAGTACTTCCCATCACTTGTAAAACGCTACGAATTAATTCCAACACCTAATACTTAGGAATTTTTAAATTAGGAACGAAATGAAAATAAATGATAATACATTTCCATAAAAACTATTATATTTTTATTACATGCTTATTTTATTTACTATACATTTAATATACGTATAATGTAAAAAATCAGTAATGATATAAAAGTAAATATTAATAATATAATAAAATGTATATAATAAAATAATAAGGTAAAATAAACGTACCAGTGATTGGACTTATGTCGGGACACTTAGACAAAATTTATTATTATTAATCTCAAATATCTCTTTTTTATTTTGTATTATATTATATTGTATTATATATTGTATTATAATTTAATTGCATTTAAAAATTACAATTAAATTATAATATTACGTTTTAAAAAGCGTATTGAAATCATTATTAACTTAAATAAATAAAGTGTTATATAAATGTCCGGACACAGGTACATGCTACATGTCGAGTCACTGGAACCGGTCACAGTACCTGTCTGGACAGTTACAAAACTTTATTTATCTAAATTAATATTAGTCTTAAATATTTTTTACCTTAAAAAACAATTTGAATTAGTTGAAAAGGAATTGTAGTTGTAATTATACGGTTTTTCGTTATTTTTGAACGAAAGATACTCGTAATTATTCATAATTATGGACATGTAATAGTGACATTCAGTCAATTTCTAATCCTATTATGGAAGACGTGCATACAGATAGACCGAGCGACACTTGTAAAAGATCGTATGGGAAACGTCGCAGTACATTATCGACTATCATGCAAACGGTTAAGCAGGCGAAAATCGAGAATTAATAAAAGGTAGTGCATTTCAATAACAAATGCATTTTAGCAAAATTTGCCCCTAAAAGTAATGAAAAATTATATAATTCGTGTTCGAAAAAGAATTGAGTGATATGTCAATTGAGAAAGTCCGCCCGCCTGTCGCATACACAGAGTTGCGTTCTAAAACATAATTATAACATAGTAATCAAAATTCTATAGTTTACATGACGTCAATTATAGAAGTTTAATTGTAATTATGTTTTGAAACGTACCTCAGGTGAAGATTGAAATTTCGCGGGTATTCGTATCACACGGATATCATACGCTTAAAATGTGCGTGCGTGCGCGCGCGCACGCGATAAC